CACATCCCAAATCTCTGCTGCTGGGCCACAGGGTGCATCTTCTCTCATCGCCGTGTGGCCCGCTCTGGATACCACGACGCTCCAGAGCTCTTGGGCGGCAGGTGCTGTACTTCCGCCGGCTTATGCCGAGGGGGAGCTGCTATCCGGTTGACGCGCGAGGAGCAATCACAATCGATGTGTGAGGAGCGAGCTCCGTCGGTTCCGTCGCACTCGAGCGCCGTTGGATGCTAGGAAGAACTGCGGTTCCCTCCGCTTTTTCTGCACAAGGCATTCCGCTTGCGTTTTTCTGCCAGCGCTTCCCCCGAGCGCCATCGAGCGCGCGATGAAATGCCTGCTGTGGCTAGCCCGCGCGAGCCGATACTGGAGAGCTTTTTTTGCGCGAGTGCGCTCGATCCGACAAACGTGTGACCTGTTGTCGCTCCGAAGACGTGCCATCCTCTTTCAGGGGCGACCTGGGCACAAGGAGACCTACTCAACGAAAGCCCTGGGCATCCGCCATTGCTGGGAGATGCGAAGGCATCGCGCTTCCAAAGCCATGGCCCCTAGTAAACCACAAAGGCACCGTAACTGTCTATGGGAGAACGCTGCTGTGTCCGACGCCTGAGGCCACATGTTGCAGTGTAATGTCGTGGATACTCGTTCCCACGGACACGATCCTTTGTGAAGCAAATTTCGGGCACAGCAAGAACCGCTGCTGCTTAAGCTGCTTGGTGATGTTGCTGCTGCTTGCTGTCGTGTGCGGAAGCGTGATGCTGCTTGGTGCCGCCCTCTCCCTCACTTTTTTTGTTCTCTCTCTCTCTCTCTGTCTTTCTCTCCAGTGAAGACCTCTGGGGCAGACTTGGAGTCGTCTTCTCCGTTTTCAAACGGTCTGGTTCTGCTCGGGGAGCTGTCTTGAGGGCCTCGTGTCGTCTCGAGCCGTCTGGGGGCGGCTTGTTGGATATCCCTCTTGGGCAGTCTTGGACCGCTTCGCCCTCTCGGGCCATCTCAGGGCGATTCGGGGGGCCTTTGGGTCGATGTTTGGGGCCCTCTCGGTTCGCACTGAAAGCATCTGGAACTGGATGTCAAAAGGAACACCGACAACTACTGCCTAAACAGCTTGTCTGTTAGACGCCCTTCATTTTTTCCAACAACAAGTTGTCTGCAAATCTACTGAACAACTTGTACCAATTGTCTGCAAGTTGTCCGTAATATGTGGCATTGCGTCCTCGTTTTCAATCCGCAGGGCCAAAACATCTTCGCAACTACACCTCCTCCCCAACCTCTACTCCGCTCTCGGCATGCCGATCTCAACAGATCCCTCACCCGTCCGTGGGCGCAGGCGCATGGAACAGCCGCTCATGTCGGCACGCCACTTCTACGTGTCGTGCCCCTTAGGGAGTTCCACCCATGAGTATCGTTGAACCGATCCCCATCCCCAGCGGCGTGGCCTGGGCCCCACTGGCCGATTCACCCCCCTGGAGATGGGGATATAGGCCGCTCCCTTCGGGCTTCGAGGGGCGTCTCCCCAGGTGTGGGGGGGGGGGGGTCATCTGGTGGGGGTCTCGAAGGGGATGAGGATGGGGATGGGGATCGGTGAAACGGTACGGAGCCCAAGTGTCAGTGGGCGCCGACGCGTCGCAGAAGCGCGCCCAAGCCGACCGGCCCCTCACACATCTCGGGGGCCCATATGGGGAGCTCCGCGGACGAGCTCCGTGGGCGCCGCCGACGTGCGGCGGCGCCCTCCTCGCGCTCTGGCGCAGAACCCTCGCATGCTTCGCGCTCCCACAGGCCAGGGAGCTACATCGACGCGTCGCTCATTTCTAAGCGTGCTCCTCTCCAATCGTGCTCGTTCCTAATTGTTCCTGGCTCCCCAGTGGCCAGGAAGAGGCCCAGCATGGAACGATTAGAAGGGGAAAGGATCTTGGCCCCCAAAAAAATCAAAGACCCTTCGAAACATTAGAAATGAACAGTGTGTACGGTTCCAGTGGGCGCCGGCGTATGGCGGCCCCACACCCATGCGGGAGCTCCGCCTGGAGTGTAGTGTCAGCGTGCGCTAACGCATGGCGTCGCCGCCCACATTCCGACGCACCCCTCACAAAAACGGGGCCCCGTGGGAAACTCCGCAAACGGCTCCAGTGGTAGGGCCCACATGCCGCACGGTCAATGTCGGCGCCCCGGTCGCGAGGACTGGGGCCCCATAGGGGACTCCGCATACGTTGGCAGAGGCGGCATCCGCTTGGCGCCGCCGCCCATTTCGGTGCATCCCTCAGGAGGATCGTGGCCCCATGGGAAGATCAACATATGGCCCACGTGACGGGGTCCGCATGGCGACGCCACTTCGGCGTAATCCTCACGAGGATCGTGGCCCCATCGGAGGCTCCACATACGAGTGGCAGGGTCCCTGCGGCGGCGGCGCCCGTTTCAGCGAACCCCATCACAAGGATCGCGCACCCTGTAGGGAGCTTCACTTATGGCCTCGGTGGGGACATGTCGCTTCCGCTTGTTTCGGGGCGCCCCGCACACAAGCCCAAACGACGGCCCCAGCGGGAAAGCTTGCATGCGCATAGCCCCGTGCATTTCGGCGTACACCTCGTTCCTTTCTGATCGTGCTCCTTTCTACTTCTGCTCGTTCCTAATTGTTCCTGGCCCCCCAGTGGCCAGGAAGAGGCCCAGGATAGAACGATTAGAAGGGACAATGATCTTGGCCCCCCAAAAAACCAAAGACGTTTCGAAACATTAGAAATGAACAGTGTGTACCCCTCGCGCGCGTCCTTCCGGTATAGGAGGTCCACCTGCGGCCCTGTAGGGAAACGTTGCCTGCGTCCCCCCCCCCGTTCCGGCTCGGCCCTCACGCGGCTCGTGCACAAGAGGGGGCGGCCACCACCGCGACGCGAGGCTGCTCAGGCCCTGCCCCCTCGCCGCGCGAAATTTTTCGACGGCCTCCTCCTCCTCTCCCTCCTCCTCCTCCCCCTCCTCCTACTCTTCCTCCTCCTCCTCCTCCTCCTCCTCCTCCTTCTCCTCCTCCTCCTCCTCCTCCTCCTCCTCCTCCTTCTCCTCCTCCTCCTCCTCCCCCTCCTCCTCCTCCTCCTCCTCCTCCAGCCGGTGGCCCGCGGTCTCCCGCGCGGTTTTCCGCTTGCTCTCCTGTGCGAGCTCCCGCACGGACTCCCGCAGGGCCCTCCCGCGGGATCTCCCGCGCGATCTCCCGCTGCGGCCCGTCGCCCGTGAGGTCCCCCGCATGGTCTTCGTGCGTGTGCAGCCCAGCAGCTCCGCACTCTCCGATGCTGCGGTTCGGAGCTGTGCTGCCGCCGGGCTGTGACATGAACAGGGCTGGACTGGTTCTGGCTCTCTGAGGCCTCCCTTGACGCCCGTTCTGGAACCTCGCTGGGGCTTCTGAGAGGCCCACGAGTGCCTCTTGGGCAATTGTGGGCCCGCTGGAAGGACTTCTGGGCCATCGCGAGAGCCTCCTGGAGGCAAGCTGGGGCAGTCATGGCGGCCTCCTGTCGCCGTCTGCTAGGGCTCCCAACTTCGCGCTCTCGCGCCGCCCCCCCAAAAGGGAGAAGAGGCGGACGAGGAGGAGGGGGAGAAGGAACGAGGACCGCGAAGCGCGAATAACTGTGTGCCCTCGTGAAAAGCCCTTGGCCTGGGACTGTCCCAGGCTTCGCTGCATACCCAAGGCAACGAGACCAACTACGGTTAAGTCGGGCGTGTCCCCCTACAGGGAGACCTTGGACGAAATATGAAAATAGCCCAAATACCCGAAAATATTCAAACATGGTAAAAAATGCCCCAGACTATTTGTTGTCTACTTTTGAATATTCCTCCTGTAGAGATACAGGCCCGACTTAAAACTGCGCTCGGCAACACCTGCATGGCGTGCCGCGGCGGCGGCCCCGGCGGCACGCTGACGCGGATGGCGTGCCGCCCCGCTCCGCGTGGCGGGCGGCTGGCAGAAGCTCGGGGGTAGGACGCTTGGGACTACCTACCAGACCATCCCAACCCAACCCGAAGACGCGAATTTCTGGTTGGGGGCGGGGGTAAGGGTCCCACATGTGTTGTTGTCGATGCTTCCCGACCCCCCCCCACTGGAAATCGAGGCTAAGCCTGAGCCTTCGGGTTGGGCTGGGGTGGTTTGGTGGGTGGTGAGCTTGGGTCGCGGAGGGGATGAGGAGGAGGAGGAGGAGGAGGAGGAGGAGGAGGAGGGAGGAGAGGGAGGAGAGGGAGGAGGGAGGAGGGAGGAGGAGGAGGAGGTGGTTTGGCGACGTGCTTCGCGTGTCGCGCCGAGAAGTGGTGGGCCAGCACCGGCAGCGCGAGACGCGCCGAGAGGCGCTCTCCGAGCCCAGCCCTCGCGAGGAGGGCCCTGAGCTCCTCTGCACGCGCGCGCGGACCCAGCAACGACCCTCGGCGCCTGCGCTGCTCGGCGGTGGCGAAGGCGGGAGCGGGAGGGTCTGGGGCCCCACCACGGGCCCCCAGCAGGCTCTGGCCAAGATCGGCGCGCTCCCCCGAGGCGCCGACCACAAGGCCCACGGCATCCGCCCTCGTCGTCGTCGTCCTCGTCGTCGTCCTCTTCGTCCTCGTCCTCGTCGTCCTCCTCGTCGTCGTCGTTGTCGTGCTCGTCGTGATCGTCGTCGTCGTCGACGTCGTCGTGCTCTTCGTCGTCGTCGTCGTCATCGTCGTCGTGGGCTGCGGAAAAACCCCAAACAGAGATTTGTTGACCACACACACGCGCAAGAAGCGCCTGTTGCAAAAAGACAGCGGGAATGCTGCGTAAAGCGACGCAAGCGGTATGGCACAACTAGCGTTTTGCGGGGACGAACAGAAACGATTTTGTATCACGGACACGGTACGGAAATCTCACGTTCAACCTGCGCCCGTGCCGGAAATCTTAAAATTCTGTTGAAGGGGAAGACGGGTGGCGCACAGTCTACCCCGAAGAAGCAATGCCGCGAGACGCGGTGTTTCGACGACATGTCGCTCGAACACCTGCTGGAACAGATGCAGAAAAACAGGAAAGGCGGTTCATCCTCGAGGATGCGCTTCCGCTCCGCCTGCACGTGCTTCTCCACGATCTGGACCCGGCCAGCGTAGTGGTCCACCCTCCGAGGAGCAGAGGTGCGAATGCAGCGTGAAGTGGGCGCAACAACCAGGTGCGTGGATGAGACGGGCAGCTTGTAAAATCCAGCACGGGGTGAGGAACACCTGGAAAATGAAGCCGCAAAGGGACACGGACTTACAGACGGAACACGCTACGTTTAATGCTGATATCCGCGGGAATGCGCTGGCCAACGATGTCGTCATCGAGAACGTTGGAAATATGACCACTGCCAGGTGGAACGGAATTGACATATGCACCTGGTGCGCCAAGTGGAAGCATTTCTTCCGAAGGGGAGCGCGTCAAACTGCAAACAGGCAACGGGTAGGCGGAAGCAAGGCCGAGGAAAGCTGAAGGCAATCTGGCGGAACGCTGGAAGCACGGGAAGCGACAGACAGCACAATTCTGAAAGAGCGAGCCCGACGCAGGAAGCGCAGGTCCCTCTGACAAGCCCTGCCTCCACCAATTTGGAAAAAAATCAACGGACGAAGATCGGCAGGAGGCGCAAGCAGCCGTAGCACTGGCGCCACCCGAACCAATGATACGCAGACCGGCAGAGGGGCGCGACGGCACGACCATACCTATATAGAGCATGCCTCACGGGTTGAGCCGACCGCTGTGCCCCACTGGCGCAGTGAGGCGCAGTAGACTGCTACGGCAGGTCCGTGTCGTGCCGACTTTGGCGATGGTCTCTGACACCGCGGGGAGCGTTCAATCTTGAACGATCGGCCGTTTCCGAAACGTCAGATCGTTCCACAACGGCCAATTCTGGGTCGCTGGAGGCGTTCAACTTTGAACGCTGGCGGCGGGGTCGCAGCGGGTCGACACCACGCGAGGGCGCCTCTCTGGAGGCGCCTCTGGGGCACGAATCGGGATGGTAGCACGAGGTTCTCCCAGATGGTTGGTGGCCGCCCCCAGGCCGGGAGGGGTCTATATATTCTTATTACATTCTAACATTATAGAACCATCGTGCGCGTTTCGCGCACGCTCGAGTTCTAGCTCGGCTGGATGGGGACCTCTATATTATGATATTTCTTCTCAAAGGCTTTCAAGAGCCACGAAGACGGCCCAAGTGGCTTCCAAGACTCCACCCACGGCGGCCTAAGACAGGCTCAACATGCACTTCGGGGGCCCTTCTCTTCGCCGCGGCTGGGCGCAGCCGGAAGGAAGGGGAAAGAAAACGGGAGGCGAAGGGGTTCCCTGGGAGAGGAGGATGAAGAGGAGGAGGAGGAGGCCGCAAAGGGGGAGGAGGAATGAATGAATGAATAAATAGCTCTTGGAGTCCTGCCTTGGTCCACCTGTTGCTGCACTACTGCCCGAGCATTGACTGACTGACTGACATCGTGACCTAGAACTCTGAGTCGGGTTACTATTGCACCTCCCGCGACATTTCGAAATCGCAACCAGCACGCTCCGCACGAAGCGGCACTGTCCGTCCTGCACCTCCACAGCGGGCGCGCAGCCCTAGGGGGCAGGCTGCAGCGGCACGGGGACTTCCGACCCACCAGCCGCCCCCCCCCCAAACCCCTCCGACCACTCGCGCGCTTCCCCTTGCCTTTGGAACCTGCTTTAGGCTGGGCCCGCCCGCGGGGCGTAGATGATTGGCGTGCGAGGGAGTGGGCCAGGAAGAGGGGCGCCGGCGCACGTCTCGAGCCGAGCGGAGGGAGGAGAAGCAAGCACACCAGTCGCAAGAATTCCTCGGGCAACCACGTCCTTAAAACGTTCGCTGCCCGCGAAAACAGCCCTTGCCATGGACGCCCTGGAAGGTTGAAAGAACACGGTCTCCGCGCCCCGACCTGGGGTTGTCCTGGCCCAGGCTCCAACCTCGAAACATCCCTCGTCAGACCCTCGCGGGCAGAGGAGGGCTCAGGCGGTGCCCTCATCAGGGGACTCATAGCTAATCCGTGGAAGCCATCTCGCCCACCTGCCGCCCAAAGGGGCCACGAGGGGCCGCCCCCGACAAGTAGTTGCCGTTCTCCATCTCCACCAGCGCCTCCATGAAGACCGAGAGCGCCGCTCCGATCTTCGTGTCCTCGTGTAAAGCTATCGAGATGATGGCCTTGGGAGGCCCCCCGTTCTGCGCCTTCAAGACCTGGCCCCTGAAGCGCAATATCGAGCGGCCCAGCTTCGCCGCTGTGACTCCTGGTGTGGAGACCTCCTGCTGGTAGAACTCCTTCATCTCGTCGCGCAGCTGGATCGCCTGCGCGTCGCCGTTGTCCTCGAACTGCTTGCCCGCGCCGTAGACGATCGCCGCCGTCGCTGCGTGGGCGCGCGGGGGTCCGCGAGCCTTTCAGTCCACGTCACCACCTTCGCGCTTCTGCTTCTTCATGTCCAGGCTGGTCTTGTTGCACGTGGCCCCCGCGGCTTTCGCCGCTGCGGCCAGGCCCGCGCTGGCGCCCGGCATCTCGTAGCGGTGGTGCACCGTGCCCTCGAGGTCCGCGACGTCCCTCGGCCAGCGTCGTGGTGAGGCGCGCGTTGAGCAGGGCGAGCTTGCCCCCACCTCCGCCGCCGCCCTTGCTGCCGTCGGCGCTGCTGCCCTTGTGCTTCTTTTCCTTGTCCCCATCGTCGCCGCGGCCTGCTCTCTTCCGGCGCGCCGTCCGCGGCGCGTTGAAGATGGGGGGCGGCGCCGCGTTCCCCGACGCCTGCGAAGCTGCAGGCTCCCCCATGAGGGGCGCGCTCCCTCGAGGCCGCAGGGGCAATTGGGAGCGCTGGTGATCAAGTGGGCCGTCGAGGCTCGAGCCGTCGAAATCGCAGACGGGGCAAGTTAACGAGGTGACTGGCTGGATTTCCCGAAGCGTCGAAGGCCGCGCGGCTCCGCAATGCCCTCGGAACTGATTGCCCTGAACGCGTTTAGCTTCATTTGCTCGGTTCGCGAGGACTTGTCGACAATGAACGCACGCGTCAGCCGGAGTCAGGACATGGCATGTATTTCGGAGCCCGTGGGTGCCCCTGAGGTCCATGGGATCCCTGCGAGTTCGGCAGCTAGCTTCACATGGGGAGTCCTTATGTTCAGCATTTTCCGCGGATAGGCAGCCCTTCCACGGCGTGTCAACAAACGAGAACTCCTCCTCAGGTTGAGCGCAAACGATGCCAGGTCGAACTGGCTGAAACTCTGGAGGAGGGATTGCAACGGTAAGCTGCTGAGACCTGTGAGCTGCAGCATCCACAGCATAGGAAACACGAGGCCGCCGTCTCATCTGTTAGAAGACGGAAGTTCTGCGCTGCCTCCCTGAAGATGCCCTGGCCCAGCGCCGCGCCAACCACGTGGAAGTCGTCGCGCAGCTGAAAGGCCCAGAAGCAAACAGATGCGCTGAGGCCCCCTGACGGTAAGAGTGGACCCTCACGCTCGAATGGTAGTTCCCCGAATAGAGCTCCGAGAACCTGGAGGTGATGCGCAGGCCGCCGGGCCCAGCATTGGACCAGTCGAATTTGACGCATACGCATCTCCAGACGAGGGCCCGTCAGTTTCCAGTGCACCGGAAGCTCCTGATTCAACGTCGCACGGGGGCGACTACCACTCCAGTCCGTGGCCTTACCCGCCATAGCAATACGGCAGAAACGTGCGAGAGTGGCCTCCAGTTTGCTGCAGTCGCTCTCTGCGAGCGCGAAGGCATACAGCCCGCTGAGAAGTGCATTGTAGGCGAAGTCCTGTAATGGTAGACACCTGAATTCCCAGGGGAGTTCCAGTTGCCAGACAGTTCCCAGAGATTTGAACGATGCCCAGGATGCCGAGACACTCCTTGCATGGTGAGCACTATCTTTGAGGGCCAAGTGGGGCCCCAAATAGCGCACTTGATCCATAATGGAATCTTCCAGATCATGCCCCCCCCCGGCCCGCCGTAGGATGTCGAGGTGCACCTGGCGGGCCCCGAAGTACATCGCAAACTCCTGTTTCGGCATGTTTTGGTTGGGCCCGCAGGGTCCTAGTCCCGAATTCAAGAGGACGTCGTGATGCTTAATCTCCTGGACAGATTCTGGCAAGACCGAGGTCGAGTCTTCGGCTAAGACGAAGTTGTGAACATCGCCCGCGTACTTGAAATAACTCAAATCGTCCTGGCGATCGTTGGAAATAGCGAGCAGCTCGCCGCGGCACAGGTCCTGCGCACGCACGTCCTTGCGCCACTCCTGCACCGGCGGCTGAAAGGTTCCGTTGAAAGCCCGAACGACGAACGGATCCCCATCAGCCCTCCCTGCTGAGGTTGAAATGTTACTCTCCCACCCTCCCCAGCAGGTAGGGCCACCGCAGCCTCGCGGTATCGGAGTCGGCACAAGCCGCGGTCCTCGGGCGAGCAAAACTTCTGCACGGCGTCATCCATGCAGTCCAATTTCCCACTCGCGAACTCATTACTCATGTCCTTGAAACATAGACCGTGTCCTGCGAGCTCGTCGCAGGCGTTGCGAAACAATCTTGGAAGTCAGGATGGCTGTTTCCCGTCTTCGGCCCCGCGCGAAGCCATTGTCACTGTCACCTGGGGCGCAGCGGAACTTGCGCGCAAAAAAAGCCCTCCCAGGGGCGGGGAGAATATGCACCACTCGTTTTCCATGGGGTCCCCGCTAATGACTTGCGCGCAGAAGATACCCAAGACTGCAATTCCAATGCTCCGGCGCCGCTCCATGTGGGCGCATCTCGCGCAATCCCACGCCCAATAAAAAAACAAAACTACTTCGAGGCTGGGGCCTTCAAGGGAGTTCCGAGACCCCGCGCAGCCGTCCGACGCCAGTTCGGGAACATCATCATATACCAAACCTCCAGAGGAGCGCAAAACATTGGAACCGCCCGCCTCTTCGAGGCAGCGCGGGCGCACTTGCGCATCTGAGACAGATCCTCCTTCACAATGTCATTCAGCTCCCCATCCTCCGCGTAATTGCAATCATCGTCGCGCCCCCCCCATCCACCGTTCCCCATCCCATTCCGTACACGGCATGCCTCTGTCCTTCCCCACCAACTTCCACGTCTCAAATCTTTCGCCAGCTGAAAATATGCAAGAACGTGCGAGTCTTGCGCCCCTCTTCTTAGGGCCGTGCCGACATGCGGCGGCTCGCCGAGCTGTGGTCATGGCCTCCGTGATGCGGCGCGCTTGCCAGCGCTCCGATGCCTCCGCCGCCATCCGTGCCCTCCTCCCCCTCGTTGCCTGCCGACGGGGCTTGCAGAGACGGGCAGAAATATCACGAGGAGATGCAACTAACTGTTCAATATCGCTAGAGCCCGACCACAGATTAAGCTCGCGAAGGTCACATCTGTCACTGAGAAGCTGCCTGCACCATTTCGAATAATCTGATACCCTGGATATGCTGTCTGCTGCTTCGAAAAAAAAACTGTTCCCTTGCACTGCGTCGAATCGTCTCGATGGTCTCAGGGACTCCGTCGGGAGAGGCGTGACCCTTCAGCCACTGCGGGTGTATTTGCTGAAATTGTGCCTGCGCAGCTTCTCGAAACTCTAATCTACGTTGCCCTGAGCGGAGAGCGTGCGTCATCGCATCCCTGTCCCAGGAGATCGAGTCTGGCTCCTACCCCTCCCGCCCCTTTCCTTTTTTGCAGTACATCTGAAGTCCGACAGGTAAATGGTCCCTAGGAGGAGGTCCCTTGATACACTGGAATTCCGCCCCACGGCGCCGAAGACACCCACCGGTTTTGATGAGATGCCGCACCCCGACAGGACAGCATACGTAGTCAATCCTGGGATCCGAGATGTTCCCGAAGAAGCAGCAGTAGCCCATGCCGCGCTAGCAGCTCAAAGGTGGTGTTGTTCCACAAGCCCCCGACATTGATGCCCAACTCCGTTGCGAAGCCGTTCGCGGTTGCTCGAAAGTATCGCATCCAAGTCACAAGACACCCACTGCCCCTCACAGAACTCAGGCCCATCCCGTCATTGAGATCCGTATATGTCAGCGGGGTGCACCGTACTGGGAGGGAGTCCAATATGTGCTTTATTTAGCACATTAATTCGGATGCCCGCTGCACGGGAGTAGGCGCCCCCCGTTCGTCGGGAAGCTGGCTGCGGGGGGATGCAGACGCTCACAGTACAAATGTCGAAGGCCCCCTTCTTGATCCTGGCGGCGGTCCCCCGACCAAGCGCCTGCGAGGGACTCCCCCAGATCAGCTGGGCATGTCGCTCTGTGGCCCCGTGTGGGAGCACGATCGTACACCCACACGAGTTGTTAGAATACGGAGCCTTGCCGTATGGGGGACTCGAGCACGATCCTGTTCAGCACAATCCTCTTGAGCGGGTCCCCCTTCGTGTCGCGGTCGGAGCCGTTCTTGGTCCCTGCCAAGTCGATCGCGTCGAAGTTTCTCACCTCCTGTACTATCTCCTCCATCCGGAAGAACCCCGCTGACAGCGGGTTGAAGCCCAAGACTCGCAACATGGGAGACGCGCCCGCCGCGGGCTGCGAGTGTGGCGGGGACGGTGGGGTTGCCGCAACGAAACTACATAGTGAGGTGTCGGCCCCGCCCGAAACAGCAACCTGAGCTTCGGGGGATAAGGGGGAGGAGGAACAGGAGGAGGAGGAAGAGGAGAATGCGGAACTGTGATATCTACGTTTGTAATGTTGCAAGCGTAGCCAAGCTGACAGGCGAACTAGAAAAAAGGACATGTTGGAAGCAAATGTTTTCCAAATGCCCTCGGGGACTCTTTTGAAAATCTGTTCGGGTCCTCTCGGGGCCTCCTGGGGGTCCCCTGGGGCGAAGATCTCGGGTTCTCGGCGTACGTTCCCGATCCTGGGCCGTGGTTGAAGACCTCTCGGGCCGTCTTGGACGACTCTTTGGCTGTTTGGGAGCGGTCTTGGAGCCGCCTTGGGGCGTCCTGCAGCGTCGGGAAGCGGAACAGGCGGAACCGCTAAAATTACTCAACAACCTACCGAACATCAATGTTTGTTGTTGCCTCTTCGAGCTCTCTTGGGCGACCTCTCGGAAGCCTCTTGGGTGTATTGGGGGCCTCTTGGGCCGTGGGGGGGGCTTCTTGGGCGTCTTGGACCGTTTAGTGGCCTTCGGCCATCCCGCCACCGTGCCTGGGTTGCGGGTTAGAGGCCTCTTGGAAGTTCGTTTGGATATCCTGGGAGGCCTCTCGGGGGCCTCTTGGAGGCAGTTTTGGAAGCCTCTGGGGGCCGTTTGGGAGCCTCTTTATGGGCCTCTTGGGGGCCTCGTGGGGCGCCTAGGGGGCCTCTTGGGCTCTGTTGGGGGCCTCCTGGGACCTCCTGGGGATCTCTTGGGACGGAAGGCTCGAATTGTCGGTTCGTCCCCCTCTTGGGCCCTTCTTGGGGTTGGGCGATCTTGGGCGCCTCTTGGGCCGTTTTGGGGCCCTCCTGGACCGTCTTGGGGCCTTCTTGGGGGCCTCTTTGGCTGTCCCTTGGAGCGTCGGAAGTCCAGAACTCGAGAACGCGGAACACATAGAACACCACAAGGCAACTCACTGATTCTTGCCTCGTTGGGACCTCTTGGGGGTCCTCGAACGCTCTTGGGGGGGTTCTGTGGGACCTCTTGAGCCGTGTTGTAGCCAGCGCTCTTGGGCCTCTTGGTTTGGAGGCCTCTTGGACCCTTTTGGGCGCTTTCTGGGGCACTCTTGTCCCATCTTGGGGCCCTCTTGGCCTCTCCGGGCCGCCTCTGGGAAACGAATCGGAAGGTAGCAAAAAGCGCTCCCGGATGGTTGCGGAGTGGCCGCCCCCAGGCCGAGGGGGTCAAGTTATTGAGATATGATATATCGAATAGATACTGTATATATCATGTGTATATACGGATGTAAATACAGGTGTGTCTGGGTTTGTATTCATGGCGGTCTCTATGCTGCACGCCTGTTTTTCCAAACTACTTCTTCTACTGCTACTACATGGTCCAGGGGTGGCGAAACATCGTATTCACGTTTAGCAGCTGTGAGTGAGGAGGGAGCGCATAATAAATAGGATGACGAGGAGGAGCCGAATATTCGAAAGCACGCCTGGGGACGAAAGGGAACTTTTCAGCGGACAATCGCAAGAATGTGGGGCCTCTCGATCATGTCGAGGTCCTCTCTCGTCTCGAGGTCGCTCTGGATTTTTGCCTCCCAGCGGCCCCGGCACAGGGACCGATGAGGGAGCTGCACAGGGAAGTGACGAGGCCGTAGAGGAGCGAAAACAACTAAAAATGCGGATGCCAAGCTGGAGAGGGGGAACACGGACGAGGAGGGTGGTCAGGAGAATGGGAATCGAGAGGACGGCGCCAATTGGAGAGAAAGAGGGCTTGACCAGTCCTCTTCTTCCTTCTCCTCCCCCTGCGCCTGGTAGGTCTCCAGCCTCGCTCACAGAATACAGCACCAACTTAGCTGAATAATGATCTATGGAGGATGGGTGGAGGGCGCTGGGACACTCATCGGACGTCCACAACCGTCCTCGACATCCTCCCTATCAAATCCAGCCGGTGGTCTGCTGTTTTGCCGGCTCATGACTACATGCCAGTTTCAAGACATGCCTTGGATCGTGCACTTGTGCAATGCTGGCGGCATTCGTGGGGGCGGCTCGCTTATTGCTTAACTTTGACGGCATATGTTATGTGGTTCATCATCCCACCATCCCTCTGGGTGTGAATGATCTCACGAGCCCGTGCTGCTAACCCGCTTCTTCCCCTTGGGGGAACAAAAAAACCTTTCCCCTTATCCCCCCTCCCCCTGGGTCTGAAGGAGATGCACCGCGAGGGGTTGGAGCGTTCAAGATGGCCCAAGATGGCCTCAAGGGGGCCCCAGAGAGCCCGAGGCCTCCAAGATTGCTCCCAGACAGCACGAGATGCTTCAAGACAGCTTCCACCATGCCTCAACGGGCCTTCACGGCCGCCCCAGGACCGCTTCGAGGGCCCTCCGAGCCTCCCAAGAAGCCCCCCCCCCCCCGAGGTTCGGACCCCTCCAACACCTAAACAACTACATGATGTTTGCTCTCTCACTGGATCGCTTCCGATGGGCTCTTGAGGCCTCCAGATGGCCCCAAGTTGGTCCAAGAGGGGCCCAAGACGACCCCAAGAGAGCCCAAGTCCGGCCCAAGAGGGCCCCAAGAGGCCATCTTGAGGGTTCCAACGGGGAGGACGCACGCATTTCGAATTCCGCCCCCTTTTGACCGATAGCTTCCGAGATGGCCCCAAGAGGCTCTCAAAACAGGCCCTCCTCCTCCTCCTCCTCCTCCTCCTCCTCCTCCTCCGAGAGACCCCCGAAATGGAGCGGAAAATGCCCCCGCTTTGACGAAAATGAGCGGAAACAGCGCCCGGAATCGAGCGACGACGCCCGAGAGGAAGCGAACGCGCCCCGAGATCGAGCGACCATGCCCGCAGCTGCGCGAACAGGCCCACATCTGGGCGAACACGCCCAACACAGAGCGGCAATGCCCCCCCCTTGGATGACAAGAATGAGCGCGAAACAACACGCCCGACATCGAGCGACACAAAACGCCCGAGAGGGAGCGAACGCGCCCGAGACCGAGCGCACACGCCCGCCTCTGAGCGACCACGCCCGCTGCGGCACACAACGGCGGCGCGCCAGAGGCTCGCGGGGAGGACGGCCCAAGGGCCTTCCGCCCCCGGGCGCCCCGGGGAGGAAGAATCAAAAGATAAACAAATAATGCCCAAGATGTACCAAAAACAGCTTAGATGGCTTCAAAATGGCCCACGACGGCCCAAGAGGCCCCCAAGAGACCTCCACCTACGAAAGTATCGCAAGCAGCAAATCCCTACTCGAAGCCCTACATGCCGCCACGCTGGTTCCGGGCGGGCTGCGCGGTCCGGCGGAAGGGGACGAGGAGGGGAGAAGCAGGCAGACGACGACGAACGCCCAGGCGGAATGCCAAAGTAAACAAGCTGCTCAAGAGCAGTCCACAAAAATCGTCTCCCATATATTATTTTTGTTTGACTATTCTTGGCATGTTCCTGCTGTAGAGAGACGGGCCCGACTTACCCCATGCGCTGGGAAAGGGCCCGCTGGGGTTGGGCCCGGTGCCCGGCGGGTGGCCGGCCGTGGATCTCCTCTGGGGCGCCCTGCCAGACCCCCTCGCGCTGCGAAAAAATCGAAACAGGAGGTGATTCCTCGAAGCCCTCGAGAAGTAAATCAAAAAAATCGGAAAATCTAAAAAACCCGAAAAAACGAAACAGGAGGCAATTCGCGATTTTCGGCCTCCGGGAGCCCTTGCCGGGCCTCGGGGCCGTCCAAAAACAATCCCAGGGAAGGGGTCCAGACCTCGGGGGGCCGACGCTGTGAACAGAAATCGTGGGGTCGGGGGTCCGGGCTGCGTGCTGGGCGCATATCCGGAGAGGATTCGCCCGGTGGCCAGTCGAGGGCACCTCGAGGGCGCCCCGTGCGCTGGCGGGGGCCGCCGAGGGTTCGCCCGGTGACCGCCCTTTGGGCGCCCACGCGGATGCCCCCCTTGTAGGTGCTCCTCCTCGCGAAAAGAACAGTCGGTCCCTGCCTCCTCCCAAGCCTGGGGCCTGGTTCGCTGCAAAATGCCCTGCAACAAGTGAGAAAGCCCACGCTCGCGCGCGCGCACGTCGAGATCGCACCAACAGATCCCCTCGGCTGCAAGCATCTCAACTACAAAACCACCGCAAAGCTGTACGCTTTTCAGCGCAGCTCTTGCAGATGCTCTGCCCGCGCGCACGCGCTGAAACCATGGGACAAGAGATGCATTTAGAAATCTCGTCCAGGACCCGCACGACCATGTCACAACCCGTTGCGCCCGCGTTGATCCAGCGTGCACGCAGTGCACGGATCCCCAGCAAAGAAACACATGCGGCCACACGCGGGCGCCAACACGCGCGCGTCAAAATCCTGCGGGGATCATCTGGTTTCGAAGCATCCAGAGGAACAGAGTTACAACACATATTTTGGAACGAAATATGTTTAACTGGTCTGCCAGCGTCCTTGCATGTCCGCGCCCGCGCACTTCTTTACATTCACTCTCATCAGCGCCGCCGCCTCACCGCCATCATCGTCATCGCCAATCGCCGTCATTACCGCCTTCATTAGCTAACCACCCTCATCTCAGACACATGAACATTATCATCGTCATCATAGTCACCAACATCGCGCTATCATTGTTTTTGCCGCCATCCTCGTCGCCATCGCAACCACCATCGCTACTGTCATTGTCGTCGTCGTCGTCGTCGTCGTCAGTCGTCCTTCGGCGGCGGCGGCGTCGGCGTCGGCGTCGACGTCGGCGTCGGCCTCGGGGTCGGCATCGTCGCCGTCGTCGGCGGCGCCATTGTCGTCGTCGTCGTCGTTGTCGTCGTCGTCATCGTCGTCGGCGTCGGCGTCGTCGTCTCCCCCGCCCATCCCATCTGCATGGAGCTCTGTGGAACCCTTGGACCCATCCCTTCTGGGCGGTGAGTGGCCTATGATCCCTCGACGGGATCATATATTGCAACACGTCTCTCTCTCTATCTTTCTGTCTCTCTCTCTCTCTCTCTCTCCCCCTCCGTAGATATCAATCGGAAAGTGGGGGTGGGATCGATCGAAGTGGAACGGAGGGCCCCCCCACCAGGAACTCGGTTTCGGTTTCGGCTCCGTGCCGTGCGTGCGGGCGAGGCGCAGCTGCGTGGGCGGGCGAGAGGAAGGACTCCGCTGTGGCTCGGGGGGGTCAGGGTCGTTGACCCGTCCTCCCCCCCCCTCCGGTGGCCCGGCGCTGGCCCGAGGGCCCCGTGTCCCGTCGCTGTGGGCAGGCGGTGGCCGGGTTGTCCCGCCGTGGTGTCCTCTGTCGGTGTTCCGCAGGTGTCCCTGCGGTGCCCCGTGGTGCCCAGTCGGGGCTCCGTGGGTGTCCCGCCGGTGTCCCTTCACAGTCACACCGCGGGTTCCCTCGCACTATCGATCCCCGCCCTGGCACAGGATTTCCTTGCCGGGCTGCTCCTGGTGGCATTCATTTGGCCCCGAGGCGCTCGCGGCGAGAAGAGGTCGGAGGGTAGCGGGGAGAGCGACCGAGTAAGGTGGATCAATAGTGCGATCGGGCGAGTGGGGTCGATCGAGTGGGGTTCATTACGAGGTCGACAGTGAGATCGATAAAGTAGGATCGCTTGGGTGAGATCGGTAGAATGAGATCGTTAGAGCGGGATCGGTCACGAACGAGTTCGATAGAGTAAGATCGATAGGCCGATCGGTAGTGAGAGCGGTAGTGAGATCGATAGTGAGATCGCTGGTGAGACATCGTGACGAAGCATCGTCACCACGCGTCGTCGCTAACTCGAGGGCGAATCAACAGCACCGCTATCATCACAGCCATCGCAGTTGTCGTCAGTTGGTTCTATTTCCTCCACCAACCTCCTTATCACCCGAAGAGTGGTCGTAGATGTAAATGTATTGCACACAGGGTTTCGCACCACAGAGGACGCACCACATATGTCACGCATCCAGGTTGCAATAAACCAATGTTTGCGATCCACGCTGGCAAACATGAGTGACATGCAATCTGGATCGGAAGGGGTTGGCATACTGACAGAATGGGAGACGACAAATATCACAATAGTGCAGCCCAGCGGAACAATGAAGAACTGTGCGTCCTTCAGGCCCTGACTGGCGCCGCACCGGAAAAAAAAGCCACGCCAAGCGCACTGGATCAGCAGAGGCCTTGAACAAGACAGCTGTAAAAGGAAACTGGCAGCATCGCAAACAACCCAGAACTATTGTGTGAGCAAGCGTGGAACCAAAACCACCTGTGTCTAGCCATAGATGTCGTGCAATACATGTTAATCAATCGATGTGGTGCAGTCAGGTTGGTACAACAATGCTGCGAAGTCTACGTTGTGCATTCGATGTTGTGCCATCTATGAAATGCGATCCATGGGCTGCTATCAAGGTGGAACAGCCCTGTGGTGCAATCTACGTGGTGCAATCGATCGGGTACCATCTATGTGCAACCCATGTGGTACAATCCATGTGGTGCAATGTATGTGGTACAAAATATGTGGTGCAATACAGGTGGTACAATAGATGTGGGGCAATCTTTGTGGTGCCATCACATAGGTTGCACCAACACAAAGCGAGCAATGAACAGAGATGCGGGCCAATGCACAGCAAGGCAACGCCAGGCATGGCATGGCAGTGTCAAGCAAATTAAAGCAGAGCAGATCAATGCAAACCAATGCACGGCAACGCAAAGCAATGCATAACAATACAATGCACGGACGACGGGCGGCGACGAGGCGGCGATGGGGCGGCGACGGTGACAACATGGCCGCCAGACCGCCACCCATTCCCAGACGACCGGCGGCGACGAGGCGGCGATGGGGCGGCGACCGCGACAACATAGCAGCCAGACCGCCACACAGGCCACGACGACGGGCGGCAATGAGGCGGCGACAGCGGCGACATGGCGGCCAGAGCGCCAAGCATGCCCAGACGACGGGCGGCCACGAGGCGGCGACGGGCGGCGACGGCGGCGACATGGCGGTCAGAGCGATCCACAAGCCCAGACGACAGGCGGCGACGAGGCGACGACGGGGCGGCCACATGGCCGTCGGACCGACCCGCAGGCCCAGTCCCTTGGACCATGGGTAAGAATCCCTTTGTGCAAGCAGGGCTTGAGGAATACCTCGACGCAACGCTCAACTCGGCAACGGACTGCGAGGCCGATCAGAAGCACGCGAGAAGTTGGCGGGCCTGGGGCAACCTGGGAGGACGCGAGTAAAACATATATAGTGAGAGCGTGAGACGGCCCCCCTCGCCGCGGAGGCGCCTTCTCCAGCGCCTGGGACCGTGAGTACTGCACCTGGCGGGTTCGCAGGCCAACAGGAAGACGATGAGGAGGAGGTGAAGGAGGCGGAGGAGAGAAGCGGGAAACGGAGAGGAGGAGAGCGAGGGGCGAGGAGGAGGGAGGCAGGGGGAGTGAGGGGGAGGAGGATGGAGGAGCAGGAGAAATGAACAGGATGGAGGAGGAGGGATGGAAGATGAGTATGGACGAAGGAGCACAGAGGAGCAGGAGGAGGCGGAGGAGGGAGACAGGATAACTTTGGTGCGTGCATGCCTGTGTTGGATTTCTTTGGGGATCGTCGTCGCCACGGCATCCTGGTCATCCGGGACAGAACACAGGGAAGGCGGAGGAATGAAGAAGGACGAGGAGGAAGGAAGGAAATGGGTAGAGGCTGAAGATGGAGGGGAAGAGAGGGGATGATGATCGCAAGAGGGAAACAGTAGGCAGGAGGAAAGAGCAGGAGGAGGAGGAGCTTTTGGGGGTGCTTCAGGAGTTGTTCCTTCTGACTTAAAGTGTGTGTGTCTCTCTCTCTCTCTCTCTTTCTCTGTATCCCTCGATACTGGGGGGAAGGAGGAAGGGGTCAGTCTGGCTTGGAGGGTGCCGTCATCGTCCAAGACACTATCCTCCCCGTCCTTCGCCAACCACTCCACATCACACTTCGCCGTCCTCCTCCTCTCTCCTCTGCGCCGTGACTCTTTTTCGCCCTTGCGGGTGCCGGCTAGTGCTCCTGAGGAGGCACGAGGGACGCTCTGCAAACGGCGGGGCGGATGCCGCGAGGGACGAGACACGTCCAAGTCCCCCCCTCTCCTCCTCCTCCGCCTCCTCTTCCTCCTCCTCCTCCTCCTCCTCCTAACCCTCCTCCTCCTCCGCCTGCTCCTCTTCCTCCTCCTCCTCCTCCTCCTCCTCCTCCGCGCTCCTCCTCCTCCTCCTCCTCCTCCTCCTCAGCCTCATCCTCCTCCTCCTCCTCCTCCTCCTCCTCCTCCTCCTGCTCCTCCTCCGACTCCTCCTCCTCCTCCTCCCTCCTCCTCTCTTCCTCCTCCTCCTCCTCCTCCTCCTCTTCCTCCTCCCATCCTCGTCCTCCTCGTCCTCCTCCTCATCCTTCTCCTCCTCCTCCTCCTCCTCTTCCTCCTCCTCCTCCTCTTCGTCGTCCTCCTCCTCCTCCTCGTCGTCCTCCTCCTCCGCCTCCTCCTTCTTCTCCTCCTCCTCCTCCCCCTGCTCCTTCTCCTCTTCCTCCTCCTCCTCCATTCATTTGCAAGGGCTTCATGGATTGAGGGTGGCTGGTTTTCAAACTGTGGCCCTCGCCTCAGCGCCGCGCACATTCGTTTGAAACAATTGCAATGGTGCTACAGATGAAGACATCTCGTTTTCAAAATGTGGCTCTCGACTAAGCGCTACGGAGATTCGTTTTTTGACAGTTGCAACATTTGCACGGATTGAAGGCGGCTCCTTTTCAGTCTGTGGCTCTTGCCTTAGCACCGCGCACATTCGTTTTAAATATGATCGAGAGCGTTATGTGTTCTTATGGCTAACGTACTAGAACTGGCGTGCTGGAGCGATTCAGGATTGCCAAGGCGCAACGGTTACGTTGATTCGCTGTGTTGAAGTCTCAGGACTGGTGTTCTGACACGATCCAGGTTGGCCAAGACGTAATTGACAGTCAGGTTAACTCGTGGCGCTGACGACATGGGAACGCTGTTTTGGAACGATTCGAAGTGTTCGCACCGTTGCCCCCCAACGGGGCAAGACTCCCAGTGGAAACGACCCCCTGTATGGGGCCTGTGAAGAGGGATCTCGGAGGGAGGGTGTAGTTTCACATCGCTCATGGGTCTTGGATTTGCACTGGTCCTCCTCCTCCTCGTCCTCGTCCTCGCCCCCCTCCTGTGGTCACCCTCCTCCCCCTCCTCCTCCTCCTCCTCCTCCTCCTCCTCCTCCTCCTCCTCCTCCTCCTCCCCCTCCCCCTCCTCCTCCTCCTCCTCCAACTCCTCCTCCTCCTCCTCCTGCTCCTCCTCCTCCTCGTCCTCCTCCTCCTCCTCCTCCTCCTCCTCCTCCTCCTCCTCCTCCTCCTCCTCCTCCCCCTCCTCCCTCTAGACTTACACCATATGGGCACTACTCTCCTTTTTCCCGCAGGGGGCGTTGGGGTGTCCTCAGACTCCTCCGCGTATTGGTTGTACACACAGGACGCCGCCGAAATAATGAAGACTCTATGTTTTTCCAACCCGAACGGTTTCAATCCGTTCAGGAAGACGCTCCGGTTACAACGTTCGCTCCACCTTCAACTTGTCAACCCTTCCAAATCACGTTCCTGCTGTAGCGCTGAACTCGTTTCATTGGTTCGGCTCTTCCAGCTCGCGCTCCTGCAACAGCGTTGGCTTCGTTTCCGCGCGTGCAGTCCTTCCAAATCGCGCTCCCACTGCAGCGCTGGTCTCATTGCGGCGGTTTCGATCTCATGTTGCGCTTCCCGCTGCAGCGCACATCTCATTTTGCGTTTCCCGCTGTCCAAACCGTCCAATTCAATTTCCCGTCCTGTGCCATGTCTGGTTTTCCTCTGACCTTGTCGCCGACATGAATCGCGTTCTAGACGCGATGCCATGTGATGCCGTGCTACACCATGCATCGCGTACCCTCTCGGGATAATTACCCTGTTAGACATCCGACTGTGCGAATAGAGGGGGGATCCACGCAGTGGTAAGGGAAGGGAGGGAAGGGTTGGACGTCAGACGTATCGCTTGCTCACCTGGCCTGTCTCCTCTCGCCTCTCTCCTCTCTCCTTTCGCCACTCGCCTGTCGCCTCTCGACGGTTACACACAGTATGACTACTTCTGTCTTGAAGTTGCCCCCCCACCCCGCGGATTTTCTTACACACAAGATTTGGTCAACATGATTATCGTTAGGTTGCCGGTCAATCCGATTGTTTCAGTCTTTTCACACATGGTGCTCCCGCTGCTGCGTGGGCCTCATTCTCGGGTCGACCTCCACCTTCCTTGTCCTCCTTTTCATGCTGCTCAGCTGCGCCTCTCCGATTGCGCAAAACACGAAGGAGTCCCAGGTCCGCTATGGCACGCTTCTGCGGAAAGAGAACAACAACCAACGCGCTGGGAAAGGATGGGTAGGAGGTGTAAGACGTCGGGCACCGATCGTGCCCTGTCGCCTCTCGCCTCTGACCAGTTACCTCTCGCTCATCGCGCTCTCTCTCTCTCTCTCTCTCTCCCTCTCTATTTCCTGTTTGTTACGCGCGGTCTCTCTCTCTCTCTCTCTCTATGTGGATATTATGTATATACTTGTATCTACACATAAACTGTCCCTCGTCATCAATCCCTCTCCTTCATCTCCTTCCTGTCGCACCCCGGTCGGTAGGGCGGGCTGGGCGTTTCAGGCGTCATTGCAAATGTTTCACAGGTTGACGGGGATGTTGTTTTGAACAGGTGTCCCTGGCTTTATCGCCGCGCACATTCGTCAGAAAAGTTTGCAGGAGTCATTACGAATGGCGGGCGTGTCGTCTTCGAAATGTGGCTCTCACCTCAGCGTCGCACACACTCGTGTTTAACATTTCACGGATGGAGGGCGGTTCGTTTTGAACACGTGGCTCTCCGTTCATCGCCGCGCACATTCCGTTTCAAAAGTTTGCAGGAGGTGGTTCGCGGATGGAGGGCGGTTCGTTTTCAACGTGTCGCTCTCTCCTTATCGCCGCGCACATTCGTCTTCAGCTGCTGCAGCAGCTTCAAGTGGCTCGACGGTCGACGTCCAAGTAATGATTGTGATTCGGAGCGGTTTTTGACTGCCTGGGCGCCACAGTCACTTTGATCTGTGGTGCTGAAATCCCAGATACGCTGTTCTGGCACGAATTGAGGATCGCCAGGACGCAACAGTAACGCTGATTCGCGGCATTGAAGACCCAGGAATGGTGCTCCTGGCATGGTTGGGTTGATGATTTCTATTTCAACGGGGTATTTTCCGCAGTGGAAGTGGATCCTTGTAGGGACCTAGGAGTGGGGATCTTGGAGGAAGAGTGTTGTGAATTATCGTTGGTGGATCTTGGGTGTACACTGGCCTCTGTTCCTGCTTGTCTTCGTCCTTTTCCTCCTCCACCTCCTCTCCCTCCTCGTCCGCGTCATACGCAACACCTTCATCTTATGTAGTACTAGACTTCAGGGAATCCTCCTCCTACCCCGTTCTCTTCCTCCTTCTAGTCCCATCTCCCTCTCCTACTCCTGCCCCTCCTCCTCCTCCTCCTTCTCCTCCTCTCCTCCTCCTCATCATCATCCTGAATCGCCTCTCTTGCTCCTCCCCTCCTCTGGCCGCCAACGCTCCACTTTGCCCTTCCCGAGCCCGCGATCGCACGGTACGGCCGGGACTCCCGGGACAGCGCGTCGCCATGCTCCTGGAACCTGTGGTTCGACGTTTGGCTGCTGCTGCTGCCTCCTCCTCCTCTGCCTCCCCCTGCTGCCTCCTCCTCCTCCTCCTCCTCCTCCTCCTCCTCCTCCTCCTCCTCCTCCTCCTCCTCCTCCCCCTGCTGCCTCCTCCTCATTCTCCTTCTCCTCCTCCTCCTCCTCCTCCTCCTCCTCCTCCTCTTTTACCTCCTATGGTGGTATACGTTCAGCTACTTCACCCACTTTTGCCCTTTCACCACCCTTCCCAGATTCTCTGCCAGAATATGTTCGTTGGGCTAGGGCTGCCCGTACGGAGGAGATCAGGATTTAGGCGATGCGCCTCGCTGTATTGTCCCAGTCTGCTGATGCTCGCCAAGGGTCTGCTCGGGCCCTCCTGTCAGGTGGCCTTTGGCCTCCCGAGCAGAAATTTCAAGCCGGCCTCTGGGCGTCAGGTATAGGTAAGTTTTGAGGAGCTGAGCGGGGCACGCTAGGCCACCAGCTTTATGACTGCCCCGCTGCCTCTGCCTCGCAGGAGGATGAAGCGCAGGCTGAGTTTCCGTTCCCTGACGATGTGTGGCAGCAGCGGCAGGCCCTTCGGGAGCAGGGGATCTCTCCTCCGGGGGGTTCGGATTGGGATGTGGTTCCTCTCTTGTACGGCTATCCTCGAATCCCTGTTAGGCTGCCGCCGCCGCTGTCCCATCCTTCTGCGCTGCCTTGGGGTCTCACGGAAGGCACCTGAGGCCCGCTCCTTTACACCGACTGCAGCGGGATGGCCAATTGCGAGGTGCGGCTGGAGCGTGGTTGAGGTCACGGAGGATTGCTGGCCGTTCCGAGCGAAATTCGGCGGGATGCCAGGACCTTTTCAAACAGTGCCTCGGGGCGAGCGGTGGGCTGGCCTGGAGGCGATGCGCGTGTGCCCCTTTTCACCTCACAATAATTAGTGATCACCTCAGCTTTGTTCGCGAGGGCCAGCGCTGGGACTCTGAGCTTGAGTGCGGCCTCGCGCACCACGCGTCGATCTGGCGAACCAATTTTAGGCTGTCTGAGCGGTCGGGTTCACGGCCGTCGATGGTCTGGACTCCCGCGCATCGGCCGTTGAAGCAATTGGTCGACGAGACAGCGTCGGCCGAGGAGATCCACCGCTTCATGGGAAATGCTTGGGCCGATGTTTTCGCAAAGCTCGGAGCTAGGGACGTCACTGTCGCACAGGTCGCGGTCGATGCCCTCCAGCATTCTGCCAAAGAGTGCGAGTGTACATTTGAGTTTCTTCCTGTCGAGGGCGGTGCAGCTAATTTGTGCTCGTGCTGAGGCTCAAGACTCGGGCCCTCCTCCGCCCAAGCCGGTGCCAGAGAGGCGCGATGAGCTCGTCCTTATCGCACATGACCCCGTCCCCCTGGCTCCTGGTTTGTCCGCGTTGCAATGTGGGCGTTGTTTGGCCGTGGCTTGGTCCCCTGCCAGTGTGAAGACGCTTTCGAAGCCAGGGGCCAAGTGTGACCCGTCGCCCATGCTTCAGGCTCTCGCCCTAGCTGTTGAGCAGCTCGGGTGGCGTTCCAAGGGGGACGGGGAGGCTGCGGGGTGCTACTGCTGCCGACGGGGCGGTGAGGACTGGGACCCTCTTCGAATGTAATGGCCATAAGGTCCAGCGTTTTGGGCTTTATTTATTATGTGCTCGGTGTGGGGCTCGTGTGGCCATCGGATCTCATAAAATCGATGCCCTTGGGGATGTCTGCCCCTCGCGCCCCCCGAACCCCGCCCGCCGTATAGCCAGGGACTGGCTCATCGACCGGCGGCACCCAGCAACTGGAGCACTGGAGCCAAGCTTTAGTTCAATTCGTTGGGTCTCTCTGGCGTGTGATGGTCTGACCTCGCACGCAGCATCACTCACCTTTTTTAAGTCGTGCTTCCGTATTCCCTTTAGCTCAGAGGTGGTTTCGTGCCCGCATTACTCCATTTCCTATGCTGCATCCTGCGTCCCCCTCCTCCTGCTCCTCCTCCTCCTCCCCCTCCTCCTCCTCCTCCTCCTCCTCCTCCTCCTCATGCCCTGCTCCCTGGGATCTTTCACGCGCTGATTCCTTCTGTTGCAGGTGCGCCGTTTGGGCGCCGGGCTCGATCGACCGACCTCCTCCTGTCCTTGTCCGCGGCGCGCACGCGCGCGGGAAGGGCCAGGCATCCGGCGTGCCTGTTCCCAGAACTGGTAGTTGATCTTGAGCTGCTGCACCAGGTACTGCAGTCGGTCCTGCCGCGGCGCCGCGGAGCGGCTGCTGGGGAACGCGCGATCGCGGAGGCGGCGCCCGCCCAGAAGCGGGAGGCGGAGGATGGGGGAAGATCGAGGAGCAAGGAGGATTATGACAGGAAGAGGAGGAGGAGGAGGAGGAGGAGGAGGAGGAGGAGGAATGGTTGAGACTGTCTTGTGGGATTACTCGACGCCTCTGGACCTGACTGCACCAGTCGGTCGTTGAAACTAGGTATTTCCCTACCCGTCCGTGGTTGGGTTCTCGTCTTGCATTGAGCAGTGGGGTCGCCAACTCCCTTTTTCTTCTCCTCCTCCCGCACTCTGTCCCCCTCTCGCCTGCCTGGACCTGCCTGCACCGGCCTGCTGAGGGGAGGGAGCCAACACTGTGGGGCCCCAGGCAGACCCAAACGGGATCTCGCCATCCTAGGGGGGCCTCGAAGTGTAAATCCGTCGCCACTTTCGAAGGCTGCTGGGGGAGCCCGCACAATGGGGCCCACGCAGATTCAAACGGGACCTCGTCATTCCTTGGGGGCTGCGAAGTGCGAAACTGTCGCCACGTTCGAGGGCAGCTGGGGGAGCCAGCACTGTGAGGCCCCAGGCAGACCCAGATGGGACCTCGCCATCCCTTGGGGGCTGCGAAGTGTGAACCGGTTGCCAATTTCGAACGCAGCTGGAGAGCCAACACCGTAGGGTCCCACGCAAATCCAAACAGGACCTCGCCGTCCCTGGGGGGCTGCGAAGTGTGAAACTGTCGCCACGTTCGAGGCCTGCTGGGGGAACCAGCACAATGGGGCCCCACGGAAATCAGATCCAAACGGGACCTCGCCATCCCTGGGGGGGGGGGCTGCGAAGTGTGAGGCCCTTGCCTTGTTTAAGGGCTTGGGGGGGAGGACAACAAAGCAGTGGGGTGCCACGCAGATCCAAACGGGACCTCGCCATTCCTACGCGGGAGTGGGAGTGTCCCCACTTTCGAGAGCCCCTGGGCAGGGCAGAACAATAGGGCCCCACGCAGATCCACGCTCGACCTCGCCATCCCTGGGGGGCTGCAAAGTGTGAAACTGTCGCCACTTTTGAGGGCTGCTGGGGGGGCCAACGCAGTGGGGTGCCACGCCGATCCATACCTCGCCATCCCTTGGGGGCTGCGAAATGTGAAATTGCCGCCGCTTTCGAGGGCTGCTGGGCGGGGCAGCACAGTGGAGCCCCACGCAGGTCCAAACGGTACATCGCCATCCCCTGGGGGCTGCTGCGAAGTGTGAAACTGTCGCCACTTTTGAGGACTGCTGGGGGCAACGCAGTAGGTCGCCACGCAGATCCAAACGGCACTTCAAGCACGGTGCTCTCCGCAAACATGTCTCCGCCTGTAACCTTATCTTGCACATGTTCGGGTATCTCGCTGCTTCTGTCGGGGTGATTGCTTTTCCGCACAGATGTCGATTTTGTATCCTTCCCACTATAATGCCTCCTGTCCTGTTATACCTCTGTTCTGCGAGTCGGCCACGCACACTTCGCACGATATGTATATATATATATATGTGAAACTACTTATATAGGTGTATATATATATATATAGATAGATATATAGATAGATAGACAGAGATATAGATATATAGATATATAGATATATAGATAGATATATAGATAGATAGATATATAGATAGATAGATAGATACATAGATAGATAGATAGATAGATAGATATATAGATATATAGATAGATCGATAGATATATAGATAGATAGATAGATAGATAGATAGATAGATAGATAGATAGATAGATAGATAGATAGATAGATAGATATATAGATAGATGTATAGATATATAGATCGATAGATAGATATATAGATATAGATAGATAGATAGATAGATAGATATATAGATAGATAGATAGATAGATAGATACATGGGTATCCGCCGTGCACCGCCTCTTGCAGTGCTGATGTCAGACAAGTGTCGGCACACCTTATGTCATCCTGTGGTGCCGATGGTTGGGTACGTCGCAGGGTAAGTTTGGATGCCCATGCCGCAATCGAGGCCAAGGTTCGCGGAGAAGGGTTCACCCCAGAATCGTCGAATCCAAGAAGTACATAGAACGTCAATGCATTCGCGAACGTTCTGTATAGTTGTTCCATGGGCTCGATACTAACCCATGCCGAGGTAGGTCAATTATAGCCGAAAGCGCGATCCAGAAAATCATCACTTCAGAAACCTGGGCCAGCTTCCTGGAGACTTCTTGAGACAAACCTGGCCAAGTTACTGTGTCAACGCTGGAGGGGCGAACGCGCCCACGAAGCTGAGCCAGCTTTGCGGGCAATGTCTATATCCACATCCAGTGCATCTTGGAGTTTCGGGCTCTGTTCCCCAGAAGTATGAAGCGCACTGGATATGGATAACAATCTGGCCACAAAACGCTAGATGTTTATCCATATCCAGTGCGCCTCGGCCTTGCGGTGCCTCTTCTAAGAAAGTTCAAGACGCCCTGGATATGGATATAAGTATTGCCCGCAAGCTTTCTGGCAGGTTGGCCAAGAAACGCTGACCCAGCTTTTTTTTCGGGAGAAGGTATCCGAATCAAATGATCGACTGTATGTGTTGTCGATCTCCGACTCGACCTATGCAAGCACTTATCTCGACTGTAGGTCGTCGATCTCCGACTCGACCTATGCAGGCACTCCTCTCTTGGAGCCCGAGCTTGGAGCCCCGGCCGAGACCCGCGTCGGCGTCCGGTCGCCGCCGCCCGAGAGGAGGAGTAGGCTGAGGTCGGGCGTGTCCCCCCTACAGGGGGATTTTGGACGAAACAATAGAAAATACCCCCCAACAGACCCCCAACATACCCCTAAAGAATTGTCCACACATCGTCCCCAGGCAATTTTTTTCTATTTCTGGACATTCCTCCTGTAGAGGGACAGGCCCGATTTGAGAGTAGGCACCCCAGACCTCCTCGAGTCATTGAAAAATCACGACAACCGATTTTTGCGTATATTCGGCCCCGGGGGGCCCTCACCGGGCCGCGGAACAATCCAAAAAGGACTCGTGCTGAGAAGCCGGTCCCGCCGGGGACTGGGTCGAGACCTCTGCGGGTCGACGGTGTGGAATAAAAAACATGACGTCGGGGTCTGGGGATGAGGTGGGCGTAGAAGAAGAACCAGAACAGCTGCGCAAATCCGCGGACCCTCGTCGTCTTCGTCGTCTCCGTCACCGTCGTCGCCAGTCCAAGAGGACGCGGACTGAGCAGAGGAAAGCAACGTCGTAGTTCAGTCGATCCCCTCCCTCTGAGGGGCGGGGGGGGGATACGGGAGGGGCGCCGGGTAAGATTACCTGAGGGGGTCCTCGCGCTGGACGGGGGGACGAGGGGTGTCCTCGCGGCGGGACCTGGGGGGTCCTCCCGGTGGACAGCGGGACGAGGGAACCGCCCCCTCCAGGGGGGGGCCGCCAGCGGGGTCCCGGGGGAGGTCCCGCCTGTGCTGGGGCGGGGTGGTTCCTGGTCAGAATACCGCCCCTCAGGGTCCTGGCGGGTCCCCGGGGGTGGCGCCAGTTGGGGCCCCGGTGGAGGTCCCGCCTTCAGGGTCGGCGGCACCCGCCGCAAGGCCTTCCCAACAGAAGCTATCGGAGGCCGGCGCGGATTTCAGTGGTCGGAGCGTCCCGACCAAAGAAATCAGCGCGGACCTCCGAAAATTCTATTGATGCAGTTTGTTCCTCTTCGAGGGAGGCATGCGTGCACCAAAAGGCAGCTCCTGGGAGGTCCTCGTGGGAGCGACTGAGGACTGTGAAGCCCGACTGCGGGGCTAGCAGGCGGGAGTGTGTCAGAATCCACCAGCGTGCCCCGCGGCACAAAGGGAAATGTAATCGGGGTCCTTCGGGCTCTCCGTCCTGAAAGATGTAAATGCTGTTCGAGGCGCCCAAGCGCCCCCAAAGCCCTCTGTACCAAGATGACACCCGAGATCGCAGAGAAGCGTCCGATATATTCGCACATGGGAGAACCATTGAGAGATGAAAATATGAATCACAATCATAATTGAGGACGTGGGAATGAGTATGGCAGGACGCGAGGGGTGAACGGATGGGGATGGGAGGAAAAGGAGGAAGGGACGGGCGAGGACGACCACGAGAAAACAAACTAGATCCGTGTTCTTGACGATGTAGGCGGACTCCACGGAATCTCCAGGGAAGAGCTCGCTGAAGTAATCCTGCGCTGAAGAGAACGCTGCCACAGCGGGGAGGAGCTTGGAGGAACATAGGCACATGGCAGGGGCTGCCGGGAGCGAGCGGGGAGAAAGAGGGGGAGAGCCAGCGTCAAGAGAGAGAGAGAGAGAGCGAACGAGAGAGACATGTATGTATGTGTGAATGTGCGAGTGTATGCATATATGTATGTATGTATGCATGCATGTATGTATGTATGTGTGTATGTGTGTATGTATGTATGCATGCATGTATGTATGTATGTATGTGTGAATATGTGTATGTATGTATGTATGTATGTATGTATGTATGTATGTATGTATGTATGTGTGTATGTATGTATGTATGCATGCATGCATGCATGCATGTATGTATGCATGTATGTATGTATGTATGTATGTATGCATGTATGTATGTATGTATGTATGTACGCATGTCTGTATGCATGTATGTGTGTGCGCACGCATGTAAAC